AAAGTCAGAATTCGAAAATGTGTGATGTGATGCCATTCCAACACTAAGTAACTTTACTTGTACTTTGCCACTACTGTTGATGATGGTCCATCCCAGGGGTATTTATCATCGTCATATGTTCAAAAGTAAAGCACAAACAAAAACAAAACAAAGGCTGGCAGTCGATTTTCGTGCCTTTGTTAATGTCATTCATGGAAAGCTGTCTCAATGTCCCCTCAAACCAGCAAAAAAGGATACCTTTTTTTCCTGGTGTTTTAGAAAAGAAAATCTGGCTACATTAGGTTGCTCTTTAACGAACACAAAAATCGTAACAGACACTTTATAAATATTTGATTTGCAATGAAAAGCGAAGCGAAAAAATAAGGGTTGCTTGCTTTAGTCCCGCCAATCAAGGTATGACGACCTTGACTTGTTTATCCAAATCATTATAATTTTTTTTTTATACAAATGGTTGTATTTTCTCCTCTCTATTTAAAGACATTAGAGGAAAATTGTCTATCGATTGGATGTGTATGTGTTCGATGTCCGTGCGTGAGCTATTTTCCAATAATTCATAAGCAAGTCATAAAAACGTGATTTGCATGCATACTTCATGAGGTGTGCACTTCCGTTCTACAGGCCATTGCCTAGTTTAAGGCGTCTTTGAAGGAAAAAAAGCGAACGAATAAAATAAATTGCCCTAACATTAAATTATCATGCTCACAGCTATCTGAACACACACATTTATTTAAGCATAGTCACCCATATAAATAGGCGTTAAATAGGGCGGTTTTGCACATGATTTAAATTTGCTTTGGCTTGGTTTCCTTTCAGTTTTTGTTTTTTGGTTTGACTTCGTGGCAAAGGAGGGTTGGCAGTATCAACGATTTTTTGATTATTCAAACATTACAAGGTTATTGTACCCTCTTGTCTGTTGTGTGGATATGTGCCATTAGTATTGTGGTTATGCTTGTTGTTGTTTTTGTTTGGTATCATTTTAACGCGCCTTTTTATTCTCAATTATGTTTAATTTTTTATTATTAATGTTTTGGTAGACAACTGTTAACATTGTTTAGAAGGAGAAGAGAATATGTTTGGGTGTCTAGTCATATTTGATGATAGTGTTGGGTCAGGGCATTAGGGAGGTCTGGGGAAGAATCCAATTTTGAGGACAATATTTGAAGAAAATCTAAGGTGAGAAATGTTCTTAAAAGAAAATCTTCAAAATAACAAAATTATATTAAAAAATCCTCTTTTCAAAAATCCACGCATAGAAAAATTCTTCATTCTTTTTAAATCTACTCTAGAAAAATTCTTAAAAAAAATTTTCTAAAAATTCTACGCTTAGAATAATGCTTTAAAAAATTAGAGGAATTCTTAAAAATATTTTTAAAAATCCACGTTCAGAAGAATTCACGTTTAAAAAATCGACCTTAAAAAACTTAAAAAATAAGCTTCGAGAAAAGTTCATCAAAACAGTTTAAAAAGTCGCAAATATCCCTAATAAAAATTTTAATAATTTTAAAAAAATCACCCATAGAAAATATTTTTAAAAATCCCTATAACGAAAAATATAAACAAATCGCCATAAAAAATTAGAAAATCCTCAAAATTAAAAAAAAATATATATTATCAAAAAATCTGCATCTTCACATTTTTTTTTAATTCAATACGTTACCAAATATTTTTTAAATATTAAGAAATGTATTTTCTATATCCCACTTTGGAATGGACCCATTGACAAATATTTATACCCTACACAACTATGTTGTCAGGGTATTATAGCTTTGTATTTAGCGGGTCAAATGTACCCTGACTTTTGTGTGAAAAATTACAAAATTTGTATTCTATGGCGTATATATTTACTCCTGAAGGACATAGAGCCAGGAAGTTGATAGTATATCCAATAGGAGTGGTTGGCCTTTAAATTGATACCAATTATATTGTGGTATGTACTCGGATGTGGGAGTTACACGTAAATATTTACAGGTGCTTATGTATTCAGATAGTATTTAGTAACCCATAACCACACTAGAGGGCGGAAATATAGCACTGATCGCTCGGTCAAGGACAACGCCTACAATTTTCGGTGATGATCAGATAACAATTCGCGATGAAGCGGAGCGAAAACTTTTTTGTTTGTTTTTTTTTTCGAGACTATCTATAGGCCACAATTGTAAACCAAACATCAGAACACCACACATGGGAATCTGGACAAGTAATTAGAGGGGCGTCTGTACTGAATATTAGTAATATTCGGAAAATATGTCATTGTAAGCTAGTGATGCTGTTGAACTCTAATCGGAAAAGGGGGTGCAAATATCAAGAAATATTGCCCAGGCTCGGAATTAAAACTCAGCAGAAAGTTAGAGTTACGTGGTAGATGTGTAGGGTACCGTATGGTCGGCCCCGTCCGACTATACTGCTCCGCTCACTGGTTTTGTTATTATTCGCCTTTCCTTATTTCCCATTCCGGCTACTGTTCTGACTACTTGCTTTATTATGGTGGTTTATTACTTTTGACTTTGGCACATTTGCCACGTTTTTTTTTGTTTGGTCACACTTCTTCTTCTACTTATGGTTATATTTCGAGGAATAGCAAAGCTTTCTCCTGTCTGCCTCAATCATCATACATTAATAATGAGAACGATGGTGATGAAGATGATGATGAAATGGCACAACATACAATAAAAAATAATGTCAGAAGAAGCGTGAACGAAATTAATAGCAAAACAAAATAAACAAACCAAAAAAAATAGTGAAAAAGAATAGATAGACAGGGGAAACAAAAACAACAACATCAACACCATCATCATCATCCGTGAAATGTTAAAAGGACATGAAAATGCAATCATGAGGTCGTCATGAGTAATGATTTGTTGTTGTCGTTTTTCTTTGTTCCATTTTTCTTTTGGGTTGTGATTTGTAAAAGCAATGAATTTCAAAGGGATTGATGGAGAGGTATGAAGAGGGGAGATACGTTCATCGAAATGTTTATTTTTCTCAAAAAAATAATGAGAATATGGATTAAAATAGAATGCGTTTATGTAAATCATATAATGCCTAAAAGTATGCAATAATTTTTGTCAATTAATACACTCAACACATATGCAGCAAATTTAAATTTGTGCTACGATTTAATTGATAATCTTAAAACATATGATTTGCTTAATTATTTACAAAAATACAAAGTTTAAAGAATGAAAGGACTTTATATAACAAACATAGACTCACGGCGGCAAAACCTTTTTGTATTACATATGATGTAATTGTGTGCGTGATGTTAAAGAAATAGTATGCGACAATTATGAAATGTTTTGGCCTCTCCACTACATTATCCTTGTACCACTCATAACCAATCTCAAAAATCTATTCCATTGAATTTGAGGAAACATTTGTATAGGAGTATCATCCATTCTTCTCTATAACTGTTGTTCAACTTGTAGAGCTGTCTAAAATATCAACAAGCCGACAGGATATACGCGTTACATTTACAAAACCCCAAAAACTTGACAACAATCCTTTCCTCTGACCTTCCGTTGCGTAAGATTTATGCTATCTTCAGTTGTGAGGTAAACCTTACTCAGGCAGAAATGCCCTCCTCTTCAGACATAGAATAACGTCCCATTTTACCACACCACTGATGAGAGGTTTACGAAGGAGTTAAATCAAAGAAATCCGTGCAGAGGAAGACAACTATTGTTTCAACTCCACACCATTGATTTGTACAACAATGAAAATGATTATTTTGTTGTTGTTGTTACTTTGTATAGCTTGTCTCAGTTTTCTGTTTCGGTTACCGTCGACCATTTACATTTACAATGTTCGAACATGTCTCCGATATTAAGACAATAACTACAAACCGTTTGGGGCGAATGGATTTCCAAAAGGGCGCATCTTTGAAAGGCCCTTAAGCAAATAGTTAACAAAAAAATCCATACTATAATGGACCCTAATCTTATATTTTTAAAAAAAGGATTAAAATCGGTCTTCAAAATATATATTTTTTAAGAATTCGCATTAAGAATGGACCCTAATATTTTCTTCAAAAAATCCCCACTACAAAAATAGTTTAAAAAATCGCTTAAAACAATCTTCAAAAATATTTTTTTAATATACACACTCAGAATGGACCTTCAAAAATACTTTACAAAACTTTCCGCTTAGTATCGAACTTTGTAATCTACGCTTAAGATCGTAGAAATCAAAAATACAATTCTGCACTCAGAATGGACATTTAAAAATATTTTATAAGAAATCCACAATTTTTTAATAAATAACAAATTACCGTCCTTAAAATACAGCGCTAAGACTTGACCTGCAGTTAATTAAAAAAATGTTTAAATCTACTCTTCAATTTTTTTTTAAATTCCACGCTTAAAGTGAGCTTTAAATTATTAGTTAAAAATCTATGCTTAGAATCTCAATACAAAATATTTTTTACAATAAAATAACATTAACAAAACATATCAAAACATATTTATTTCAAATTCTAGCGTAAAATCGACAAGGAAAAAATGCATTTTATAAAATTCGCACACAGAATGGACATTAGAATCGAGTTTCAAAAATATATATGTTATAATTCTGCTGATTATAGACAGATCAAAAAATAATAAAATATTCGTACCTACCAAGGCCCTCATTTACCATCACAAATCCCTTCACTTCGCACCTGTTTCATTTTCCAACACAACATAGTTTTTAGTTATTAGGATTTGTGATGTTTACAAGACAATATGTAGATTACGACAATGTGTAACTTTTGTGTGTGTTCGGCAAAACAATGTTCAATCAAATTTGTGGTGGCATGGTGGTCAGACAGAAATTCCAACGAAATGCCAGTGCCAGTTGTAGTTTGGTTGGACAGACGTTAATTGATGTTGTAGAGGTACATGTTGTTACATGTTCTATTAGGAAGTCAAAAAGGAAAGGGATATTAAAGATGATTCTACAATATTTGTATATGAAATAAAACTTTAAATAAAGGAAATTATTAACTATTTCTATTTTCATTACAGGTTTGGTTTCAAAATCGCCGCGCCAAATGGAAGAAACGCAAGAAGACCACCAATGTTTTCCGTACCCCAGGTGCTTTGTTGCCCTCACATGGCCTGCCACCGTTTGGTGCGAATATTACAAATATCGCCATGGGTGAAGGTTTGTGCGGTTCGAGTATGTTTGGCAGTGATCGTTGGAGTGTTGGCGTGAATCCCATGACAGCTGGTAAGTCAATTCATTTGGATTTTTTTTGCGATATTTTTGCATATTAACTGGTGTGTTGGTTCTATCTCTTCCCTTCTTTCTCTTCACATTAACTTAAAATTAACCAATTCTATTCTAAACAAATAATAACAACAACAAAAAGGTTTTGGCCAACTCAATCAATCTTCATCGCTATCCTCATCATTGAATGGTGGCCTAAATTCTGGTATTAATTTAGGCTCGGCCATGGGTGCTGGTAGTTATCAACATTATGGATTAAATGCTTTAGGTAAATACTAAAATAATATAATTAACAAAATATAATTTATTTTCAATTTAATACTGCTTTTCCAAAACTAACAAATAAGTAATACAACAAATTAGAGAAACACAACTGGAAGTACAAAAATGAAAATTGTGACAATAAATTACAAAAAATTCTGAAGGCTTTCAAAAATCAGTGTCAAGGTTATGACGATCGAAATATATTGTTTAGAGAAAAGATTGATCTCAGATTGAGCACTTTAAGATTTCCTCTGTAAATTCATTTTGATTGAAAAATAATAATCAGGATATTTTTCTATAAACAATTTATGCTCACTTTCTGAATGGCTTTCTTTATAGAAAAATTTAGTGTCATGACTCTAAGGGTTGTTTTATATAAAAATCAGTTAATTTTTTTAAAGAAAACAAATATGTCTATTTTAACTGAATCTTTTCTAATGTAGATTTAAAACTAATTTGTTTTGAAAATTGTTGTTGAAAAATGTGGTTAAGACCTTGAACATATCGAAAATAAAGCGTAACCCATGTATGGAAGTATAAAATGTTATGTGAAAAAACCGCACTCAGAATACAGCTTGGAAAAATATTTTATAAGAAACCCAAGTTTAATATCGATCTCAAAAAAATTGTTTTTAATATCCGCACTAAAAAATTCAAGCTTAGAATCGAACTGCAAAATTGTATTTTAAAGTCAGGTTCAGAAGATCTATTCTTGTTCTTGTTCAAATTTTGTTCTAATAAAGTGCAATTAATTCCATGGAAATGTTCTGCAAAAAAATTGGTTACCCACCAAGATCCCTGTGTACCACTTCACAATGCTATGATACCGTCCACATCGTTTGGAAAATGGGCCTGGGATTATCAGAACACCTATAAAGAGAGGCTGGGGCTATACCCAAAGATATACCGAAATTTTTGTTTTTTGGTAGGAATTGGAGCCATATCGGCGGAAAATCGGTCAAAGGTCTGTTTATATCTATATCGGTTATATCGTCATTTCAAAAGACAGAGAATTTTTCCGAAGTAAAACTATCTGCCACCAGTGAAATAATTCACAAAGTTTATCTTCTATTGAGAGAAATTCTGCTATCTTAACAGATGAAAGATGCTCCGATACTCGTTTGTCTCTTCAAAAATCTTAAACTTCTGTATACTACGAGATATTTGGTACGGATTCACATATTAAATATTCAGTATATTCTCAACAGCAGTATATTCTCAGTATATTCTTTAGCAGTATATTCTCAACGATTACTTCGAAAAGCCCAAAGTGTTATTCTAACTCAAAAATTAAAGTTCCAAATTTTCAGTTCAGTTCTGTTTTTTTTCAAATATTTAAATTTCCAACCCACAAAACAAGTTCATTCCGATTTCTTAGAATTTTTGATACGATTACAGAGTGTGAACTTCATTGTTGGACAATCACGTGTTTTAAAGGAATAAAAAATCAAAAAACTTTCCATTACCATGATATGTTTAATACAAAAACAAGAACAACAACAACTGTGACAAATAACAAATTCATAATAACCTTCATTGATCTCCATTCCTCAGTATGTCATCATCATTCATTGTCAAAAAAACAAAAACATACAATGCAAGATGCCTGAAAATCAAAACAACAACAAAGGTGTTAGTGACATTTTTTTTCATTTCGTCCATTCAAGTGCAATAACAAAATTTCGTTTGTCACATAGATTTTTGTTTGTTTATAACAAAAATTAACACAAAGGTGTTGAATTTAAACTTGTCGTATTAACATTCGGACAAACAAAAAAATTGTAACAAAATAAAAATTGAAATTTGGAGACATTTTTGAAAATTTGCTTTTCCCCATCTCTTTTTTCCAGGTGATTCAATGATGTATCAGCACAGTGTGGGCGGGGTGGGTTGTGGCGGTAATGGTTCACCCACCGCAGCCACACCACCGAACATGAATTCATGTTCTTCGGTAACACCGCCACTGTCGAACCAACCGAATCCTAGTCAAAATGAACTGAATGGTGATATGGTAAGTGGCACAGCAAACCAAACACATACTGCTTAGTCAATTCGCTAACCCAACAATTTTTTATTTCATTCTCTAGAGTGCCCAACCACATCATCAACAGCAACCACCACCGCCACAGCAACAACAACAGCAGCAGCAACCCCCTCAACAGCAGCAACAAAATCACCAACAACCCCAAAATCATCATCAACAACAGCAGCAACAACAACAGCCACCACCACATCAGCAGCAGCAACAGCAACAACATCAACAGTCGTCGCAACACTCGGATTCGAATAACAACAGCCAGGGCGGACACCAGCAACAAATTTTACCACATTGTCATCAGTCCATGCAGTCACCAACAGATGGCTCACCCGAAGATGATGTGTGGCGGGGTCATAGTATAGCCGCCCTCCGGCGTCGAGCTTCCGAGTTGAATGCCACATCGGGTATACCAACGTATTTGCATCATGCCGCCGCCGCACACAATTCATACGAACATCACAATTCGGTCTACTGAAATTTGTTGAAAAGCTTTGAAAGCTTTTCGGATTACGGATTTCCCCAGTCAGATTTTTAAAAAAGCCGCACTGACTGGTGTAACTTCAACTATGAAGAAAAGCTTTGAAGCTTTCAAGACAACAAACTTGACCCTCAAACAAACACCATCTACACTTGTTGTAGTGGTGTGTGTGTGTATGAATTACCAACAATCTGTAATTGTTTGGATTTTATTGATGTCTAGGCTAGGTTATAGCTAATAAGGAAAAGCCTTTTTTTCAGGAAAGCTTTTCATGGTGAAGACTTTAGAGCTTAAGTGATTTTTCTTATGTTGTTTATTTTTTTCAAATATTGTAAAGCATCAACAAAAACAAGAACCCCTCTCAGATTGCAGTTTTTGCACACCAGGGGCAAGACGTTTGTTATTATTAATATTATTTTAATTTTGTTTCATTATTTTTTTTTAGTTTAAGATTTTGTTTGTAGTGTTTTCTTTTTTTTTTTTTTGTATTATTTTTTTAAGATTATTTACTCAAGTGGCTTACATCCCAAAGTTAAGTTTAAGCACTTGACTTGTGTTTGTCTGTGTAATTTTATATATATTTTTTAAGTTTTATTAAATTAGTTTAATTGAAATTTCTACTTTATGACATATAAAAAAATTGGAAATAAGGCAAACAATTTTGTTAGATTGAAGAGGTTTAGTTTTTATTTTGGTTTGGTAACCTAATTGGCATTTCAATGGTTGAAAATAAAAAAGAGAGAAACTACGATTGCGAAACTACGGAGAAGTCTTCATGATATGATAGCATAGTGTGTTTGGTTAATATATGAAATTTAAACTAAATTCAAACTTAGAATAATTTAGTCAAAAACATTTAAAAACTTCCAAATCAATGGAAATATTCATATCGGTTTAAAATAAGTGTTTTTTTTTTTTTGGCGGAGAGTATCAGAGAAAATTACCTATGGTTCAAATCGGGACGGACTTGGCGTTGCTTAATTTCCAAGTGTCCATCATAACTTCATGGTCGGCTTCATGGTCGAATTCAGTCGGCTCCCTGACAGAGCCGAAACTATTTTGATATCTGTACGCCTCAACAAGTTTTTCCGCCTTAGCTGTGAAGCCATGTTATGCCATGGCCGATATCAAATTCTCACCTAACAACTACTTCATGGATATTAACAATAAAAAACCTTATTAAAAAATGGATATTTCCCTTCGACTGATGCTGTTGCCACTGCCTTGGCACTCTCAGTCCTGAACAAGTCTAGCTTCACAAATCAGTGCTACTTGAAGAAAACTATGAGTAAAATTATGTCAGGAATATCTAAACAATCAGGACCTTCAAGTGTTCCTCTGAATAACGAGGGATCCTTAGCACAATCTTTCAGTTCAAAGGTAGGTAATGAAGTGTATGAGTTGTCCAGAGGGAGAGCTCGTAAAACAGGTATCCCGAACAACATACCCAAACCACGAAATGGAATAATTGATTGTAAATTGACAATTCAGTAACTCTGAATAAAAAAATCTTTCAGAATATAGGTCCATTATAGGACCCTTTTTATATTTCAACCCCATTTGAAATATGTTGAAGACCCTATACATTGCGGAACGTTCTCAATGTCCCATGGTTCCTGTTTTAAATAAAATACAAAAATTCTTCTTTTCCTTATTTTTTGTGAGATTGGGAATTTCGGGTTCTCAGTGGAATATTTTCATATAGATTCATATTTCGACACAGTTCTCAGAAAATTATGTATTTTGTATGTTAGGTACTTTGAGGTTTCTAACCGCATTTTCCAACAGAATTGTTTGAAATATATCAGGAGACACAATATTTTAATTAATTGTCCATGTTCGGACATAGTTCTAACATAAATGTATTTTTTCATTTCAAGTAGTTTGGAAGAAGTTAGTAATTTCAAGTTCCCAGAATATAACAATCCTCTGATAAAAAATTCAATTTAGGTCCCGTTTTGGTGTAACATCCATATGAAGATCACGACCCATTTTTGATAGTATTTTGCATTTGGGGTTTTCTGACAATAAAAATATCCTTTCAGAAAAATTTCAATTCCCAGGTCCATCCCTATTTTAAGTATATTGAAAGGCCTAGTTGCATTTTCATAAAATATAAATGAAAGGAAATAGCGCCACTCAGATGCAAATGGCAGCACTAAATAAGCAGGTACCCCAACCAGCGCACAAAATGCAAGAAGGCGTTGTTTCCAGGCACCGATAGATGGCAGACCCAACACATTGGAAATGGCACAGCAGACCAATTAACCACACAGTTGGAATACAAATTGTAATAAACGATATCCACAAAAGCAATTATTGAGCAATATCGCCATGCTTTGTGGAGGCCCTATTATCCAAGAGTAGTAAAAGAAGGAAATTACCCAATTTTGAAAAAAAAATTATGGATTTTAAATTGAAGAAGCCTTCATTAAAGAAAACAATTTAAATATCTGAGTTTCAAATCCTGCACAAGTTCCTAATATTGATCCTATTGACTTCCAATAAGCCTATCACCTAGTGTATGGTATGTGGAATGTTTCGTTAGCACCCTTTTAATTAAAAAACAGTCCTATCTATTTCTGTCCAGTTGTGTAATTTTTGGGTCCTCGGGATGAAAGTGGTATATTTATAAAAAAAAAAAAAAATTGAAAAAATTGATAAATCAGACGAACAGCTCGTATTAGTATAGTGGATTTAATATTTTTTTTTAATATTGTGAAACATTTTCAATAATATTTTAAAATTTTTATAACGTAAATAATCATTATGTTTCTATTTATAGTTGACCTGTTAGATATTAATATTTAACCAAATTTTCTGTTACATCCTCCAACGAAAAATTACGAAAAAGTAGAAATTTCAATTAAATTATTATGTATTTATTTTTAGGTTATTATTACAAAATTCGTGTAATTGTTTTATTTCGGTACTATTTTAATTTTCAACAGTTTTCATTTTGTAAATAACAAAATTCCCTTAAAACAACAAATTATACATAGTTATTAAAACTACAAAAAAAGAAGATATGAACTATACAAAAACCCAAAAACTCCTAAACTTTAAAATGCAATAAAAGACTATAAAAAACAAGAACGAATAAAACAATGTATACGAAAACATTTAATGCATATTTATACCATAAGTTATATTAAATAAAAATAAAAATTTAAACAAAAAACTGAAGATATATATGATAAATTATTAAATTTAGTAAGTTTTAAACATTAAATTTAAAAAGGACAAAATTTAAAAAAAAAACTAAATTCAAAACAAGAAAACCTAAATTTATGATATATAAATATTAAATGTTTAGCCGGCCAAAAAATATTGGCATTTTTCAATTTATTATTAATAATAAACTAATATATGAATATATTAAATATACATACAGATATACAAATAAAGAAATAAAAAAGCCCTATATATACACAAATTTAAATAAATTAAGAACAAATAGTTTGATAAATGAAACACACACACCGACACTAAAAGAACAAATAATTCTATTAAGGAATTTCAAAAAAAAAAAAAAAATGATACATTCAAAAAAGACAGTAAAACAAACTTTTTAAATGTAAAATGTATACGAAACGAATAAAATTTAATTTTACAACAACAAGAACAACCACATACAATTTGATGGCCCTCGGGATATTTAAAAGCGTTTTTAACGTCCTTCTGTTATACACATGTTTTGTTAATATTTTTTTTAACTCTTCTAACAATTGTTTAATTTAAAATAGCCACACACACCGACATATAAAATAAGATAGAAAAAATATATTACAACAACAAATAATTTATCAACGGTATACGAAGCAAATAAAATTGATATTTTTACTGGGCACAGGGATTGATGCCATAGCCATTCATTACAACAATAAACAACAACAGCAAAAAAATTTGTAATTTTTTTCCCGTCTTCTGTTAACCAACAAAGAAGAGAAAATTAATAAAAAACAGAAATCCACGTAAACAACTAGAAAAAAAAACGACAACAACAAACTCATAAACAATTACATCGTACACTTATATTAAATTTAATAAATAAATTAATGTAATAGACTTTATTGTAAAATATAAATATAAATGAAAAAAATCCGATAACAAATAGTATAAAATAAATAAAGTAAAAAACACAAACAACAACCACAAAACTATACAACCAGACTAAAATAAAACTAAAAAACAAAACAAGAAAAAAATATAACAATGAAATTATTTCAATAAAAAAAATAAAAACTAAAAATCAATAAAATTTAATGTAAATGCAAATGTGTGTTCTTTGGAATTTTGTTTTTATTTCAACACTATTCCTCTCTCATTCCCTCTATCACACACTTTCCTGTTATGGAAATTCCTAAGGAAGCTAGCATATTGACCAATATCCTACACAACCACTCCTTTATGGTGTCTTTGAAGAAATAATAACACACACCAAGTCAGGCAGCCAGACAGACAGTTGTGCCATATTTCGTTGTCTTTCGCATTGCCTCACCCAGAAGATGTCCACAGAAAAAAAAAACGCGCATTGGAATTTTCTTCTATTTTTCATTTTTTTTCGCGTGAACACTCCTTAATTAATTTGTGTTTGTGTTACGTTATCACACAAACTCACGCACACATACGAGTATGTCTGTATATTCAGATAAAAAATTATTCTTCACTCAACAGGACTTTTAATAATCTATTCAGGCAAATGCTTTTTTGAAACACTAAGGATTGATAAAATAGCAATATTTTCTTTCGGGATAGACTATATATATATATATTAAAATGGGTAGGGGAGACTGGGACACATTCGGCACTTTTTTTAGAGCTCTATATTTCAGTACTTATTCAACATATATAACAACTTTATGTCTGATTATTGTCCTCTGACACTTAATTATAAAGAATAGTACGAAAAAGATATAAAAAATTAGTATTGGTTAAAAAGTTTTACAGTTTTGTAAAAAAAGTCAAATTCGCCGAATGTGCCCCAACCCGGGGTAGTTTCGGCATTTGATGGGGCACATTCGGCACCATAGTCATAGACTGGTAATTATCATCGCTATCTGTCTGGTTGAAATTCAGATCCTCTAAAAGCTCTATTTGGTTTTAATACGAGACACAATGTTTGAATTTTAGGGCTATATTTTCTAACGGCGGACGGTGAAAACTCAAGGTCGCACACACCATCAGAAATAGGTTTTTTCTATCGCATTTTCGCCAATATAAGCACGTTTAGTCTTATATATGTAATTTCGAACCATATTAAAGGATTATTTTTAAAGACAAAATCAAAAACATTTTAAGGAAATAATATTGCACTATCTGTATATGGCCGAATTTGCCCCACTTTAAAATGCCGAATCTACCCCGAATGTACGTTTTATAGTTTATTCATTTGTTCGATCAGTTTTGTAAAAACATTATATTTTTAAATATTTCTATAATAATACACATCGTAGTTAACCACTTTTTAATAATATTGTCTTAAAAATTTAAAAAGTTTTATACACGAAATACTTACGAAATGGGATTGAAATATTACAGAAACATCTATAAAAATACAAAAACCTATGTATCTAAATAAGTTTAGTAGCTAGAAATTTCAAACTTTGTGTCAGTTATTTATTTCGATATTCGATACCTATGTATCGAAACTAGTGATGTACGGTGAGAGCTTCATATAGAAAACGCGATTGCCGAAGGTGCCCCAGTCTCCCCTATATACAGGAGGAGCTCTGAAGATTATTTTTGTAACCTAACAAGGAAACGATATAAACACATTTGTTCCTTTTGAGAATATGCACAGAATCACTTTCTGAGTCAATTTATGCATGCCCATCCGTCCGTTTGTCTGTCCATGTTAAATTGTAAACAAAGTGCAGATCGCATTTTTGATTCGTATTAGATGAGAATTGGCACAGCTCATTTGTTTGGCCCAAGGACGAACCCTATTGGAAATCGGTTCAGATTTAAATTTAGCTCCAATATATATATTTTCGTCCGATTTAATGTAAATCGCGCACAAAGTCCCTATATGATGATAGGCTTAGGCTTTTTATCAAAAATAGGCGAGAATATTTTACGAATTTTAAATTGCTATATGGAGTTCCAATGAAGAATTTGTACTAGGTGATATAGAGCTCCGAAAATATATAGTTCTTAAAAAGATTTATCTCCGCGAAGTCGTGTATTTTTAAGATTTTTAAAAGGCTCTAATTGTAAATGCCACCTGCACTTTCTTAACAAAAATACATGGTCAGAAGGAAGGTCATGTATAAATGGGCTCAAAAAACAATTCTATGTACGAGGTCTGGCTCCTCCGTGTCCATATGTAGGATGGTAGCCCAATGTATGTTCTGCGTCCATAGGGAAATCTCAGATGGGTGAGGTTTTATGTGGTCCTAGTTCACATGCTGGGCATATTTTAGGTACAGTGGCACCAGTTCGTGCCCAGTAGGATGCACCAAGGCTATGAAAGGGATGTTCCCGACAACATTTGATTGTGACGATGGACGGGTTTAATCTTCGTCTCCTCATGAAGATGGTCACCTGGGGTCATGAGGATCATATTCTATTGTTTTATGAGATCTCCTTGTCACCACCCCAAGGGCTGCCGGTCGGCGACTTGAGAATCTTGTTCCTGTATTACTCAGCTTATCGCAAATAGTAGTGGATTGCGTGGACGACTTTAAAAGGACTGTTCGATTTATGTTGAACTGACTATATTTTGGCATTACGATGTGGTTAAAATTTGACATTTCGGAACTTTGGTCTGTAACTGCATTCTCCAGAGAACATTTTCAATAAAAGTCCACGGGCCACTCGTCATGTTCAAGGTTATAGCTCAATTTACATTATATAGCCCCATGTAAAAGTCCATCGATTTTTGGTATTTTTAATATAACAAATTACCAATGATTTTAATTTTTTGTCATTAAACCTCTACTTCAATGGTCATAGTTTTTCAATTTGATTTTGTAAATTTACCTTTAACTGGCCATCACATGAACAAATATATCCGGGTTTAATGTATGGTCTACAATTTCGAACACACCTTTAATATCTACATATGAAATCGTTCATAAAAACTACACACATTCACCAGCCAACATGCATAAACATATTGTAAAAGTTCTGTCGAGGACAAACAAAAAACAACAACAACGAAAAAGTGAGCAGGAGGACGCTTTGTTTTTTTTTTTTTTGTAACAGTTTCACATCCTGAACATGAATGTCTAGCAGTTGGCGTTCGCAGTTTATTTGGCGATTCAGTAGGAAGAAAAACGACGGCACGGTAGGATATTGTCAATGGTCGGTTTTGTTTTTTGTGCGTTCGGTCGTCGGTGGTTTTAAAAAAACAAAAAACTTTGCAAAAGCTAACAAAAACAGGTCTACAAAAAAGCAGAAGTCAAACAAAAACATTTGATAAACTTTTTTCCTGTTTCATGCTTTTGTTACTTGTTAAGTGCATTATTTTTTAGTGCAAAAATCAATTTATAAAAATAGTTTGTAGAATTCAGTTTTTCTATTCTATTTAATAACAACAAAAAAACATACCCGTCGAATATGGGAAATAAAGTTGTTACATTTACCGAACAGCAATTGGATGATTATCAGGTAAAGTGTTTGTGAGTATGTGTGTGTGAGTGCGTACGTGAGTATGTGTGTGTGTGATTGTCATCGGCCGACAAAAGTTTACATTTTTATTTGCAACAATTGTCCAGATAAATTAACACAAATAAATTTCAAGTGTTTTTTTGTGTTGTAATTGTTACTGATGTTGTTGTTTTTGTTCGTTTTATCTAAAAAGTCCTAAAGCTAAATGTCAGCGATTTTTGGTTAAAAACAATCTGATTAAAGTGTTAACAGAAAAATAACAACAACTCTGCATCTACCGGAAGCAGTGAAACCAAAGCGAGGAAAATTGATAAAATAATGAAAAAAATTATATTCGAAATTTAATTTTTAGTAAATACAAATAAATATTGTTTATGAAACAAGTGGTAAATTGAAACCGTTTAAATACGCTTCCCAAAGAACCTTTTGTTAATTTGAATTAATTTGTATCAATTAATTAATTGATAAACATCTAAATTTAACAGAACTGTGAAAGGGCAGGTCATGTACTAGGCCCGGAAAAAGTCTTCATACAGATAGATGACTAAAATGCCCAAGGAGTGCACATTTAAACAATTAAAAAAGAATTAAATGCTTCACAAGGGTTTATATGAGTCATAGATAAGCATGCTTTTTTTAGGAATTTTACGCGTCGATAGGCGTGGATTTTTTGACAATTTTTACGAGGCAATAGGCGGGGATTTTTATAAGATCTTTTACAAGGTGATAGGTGTGGATTTTTTTAAGAATCCTTACGTGTATTTTTTTAAGAATTTTTACAAGGCGAAAAGTTTGTTTTTTTAATGATTTCTACGAGAAGATAAGCGTGGATTTTTTTTAAGGATTTCGTGTTTTTTTAAGAATTTTTACAAGTCGTGGATTTCTAACCCGAATAGTGCTAAGGATATTTTTTTAAGAAGATTTACAAGGTGATAGGTGTGGATTTTTTTAAGAATCCTTACGTGTATTTTTTAAAAATTTTTACAAGGCGAAAAGTTTGTTTTTTTAATGATTTCTACGAGAAGATAAGCGTGGATTTTTTAAGGATTTCATGTTTTTTTTTTTGTCGTGGATTTTTAACCCGAATAGTGCTGTAATTATTTTTTTTCGAATTTTGGGACGAAACTTTCGTCATCTCTAGAGTGTCGGTCACTGAATCCAAAAATTTGATTTGTATCCTTTTTTACAAGGCGTGGATTTTTGAAGAATTTTTACAAGGCGTGGATTTTCGAAGAATTTTTACAAGTCGTGGATTTTTGAAAAATTTTTACAAGGCGTGGATTTTTGAAGAATTTTTACAAGACGTGGATTTTTGAAGAGTTTTTACAAGGCGTGGCTTGTGGAAGAATTTTTACAAGGCGTGGATTTTTGAAGAATTTTTACAAGGCGTGGATTTTTGAAGAATTTTTACAAGGCGTGGATTTTTGAAGAATTTTTACAAGGCGTGGATTTTTGAACAGTTTTTACATGGCGTGGATTTTTGAACAGTTTGTACATGGCGTGGATTTTTGAAGAATTTTTACAAGGCGTGGATTTTTGAAGAATTTTTTCAAGGCGAGGATTTGGGAAGAATTTTTACAAGACGTGGATTTTGGAAGAATTTTTACAAGGCGTGGATTTTTGAAGAATGTTTACAAGGTGTGGATCTTTGAAGAATTTTTACAAGGCGTGTATTTTTGAAGAATTTTTACAAAGGAGTGGATTTTTGAAGAATTTTTACAAAGGGGTGGATTTTTGAAGACTTTTTACAAGGCGTGGATTTTTGAAGAATTTTTACAAAGGGGTGGATTTTTGAAGAATTTTTACAAGGCGTGGATTTTTGAAGAATTTTTACAATTTTTGATTTTGATTTTTAAATTTTATAAGGCGTTGATGTTTAAAAAGTTTTATAAGACATTTTTTAATGAACGTCTTCTTAAGTTTTTTTATAAGTTGCTTGATCTCTTCAACATCTTAAATTATCCCCGACACGAAGATAATCAATTTGCTGTTTTCTTTTATTGCATATTATGTTCTCTTCATATTAACAAAATTTGTTTAATGGCATACCACCCTCCGCCGCCATGGTCTGCTGCATGGACCATTTAATGCAATTTCATTGTGCCATGGGATGTTAATCATCTGGGATTTTGTGTAACCTGTCGCCCGTCATCCCCCACCATACACGAATGCCACCACCTCATCTTGGCGATGACCACAAAGGATTGTACATTTTTCACACGCAAAGAGATATTACGGTAAGTACCGGAGGTTTTTGTTTACAGGATTCTTCATCGTTGCGGTTATAAGCCGGTTATGGCCAGTTGGGATAATAAAGTTGAGCTCGAAAAGCAGCAGCAGCAGAGCGGCAGCACAACACATTGTCGAGCCAGAGCATAATCAAGAGAGCTGTTATACATATTTACCGTTTTTCTTTTCTTTGGAAACAATTTATTGCATTTTTGGTAATGACACGCAAAATGTGTTTTCGAGTAAATTTTTGTTGTTGTTATCGTTGCTGTTGCAAAGGAAACCATAAACACAACATTATGCTGCAGGCGAGCAAGCATGGAAGGATGGATGGAAGGTAAATCCTGTCGTGACTATTCGTGTATTTAATAATAATTTGTGAAACTCTTTTGTAAACGTCGTCAACGAAAATGGCCAACAAAAGTGGGCAGCCACAACAGCAGCAGCAACGATGCCATTTTGCCATAACAACCAACCTCCATTGTCATCATCATCAGCATTGTTGCTTTAATGGTCCCCGCGACTCTATTGTAAAGTTCAGCAATTGTTTAGAAACCATTTTATAATTTTGGAACAATTTTTCACTCCGTCCTTCCAGTGTCCACAAAAGATTTCGTGAATTACGACCAGATTTAGTGCCCCGCCAAATGACCGAGGGTCAGGCGTCTAGTGTCAAAGTACCGCGCGAATGTATTGAGAAAATGCCCGAACTCAAAGAGAATCCATTTCGCAGACGCATTTGTGAGGCTTTTTCTCGTGACGGCCAGGGAAATCTATCGTTTGAGGATTTCTTGGATGCATTTTCGGTATTTAGCGAACAGGCGCCAAGGGATATAAAAGTCTTCTATGCCTTTAAAATATATGGTGAGTATGAAATTATTCTATAATATTTATTAAGGGGAATAGGGAAATAGCTGCGGATTTTTTATAGGGCGCGATTTTTTTTAGAATTTATACAAGGAATAGTTTTTTATGGACTTTAACAAGGTTGAGATTTTTTGAAAATATGGCATGTAAAGAATTTAAAATAAGATAATAATATGAGGTATTAAAAAAATACAAGACGCGGATTTTTTTACTAATTTTTGCGGAACAGTACAATGCATGTATTTTTGAGGAATTTTTAATAATTTATACATGGCGTGTATTTTTAAAGAATTTTTGCAAGGCGCGGATTTTTGATTGATTTATACATCGGTCATCGTTTTTGTATATCCCTCATTTAATTGTACCATCATATTTTCAATATTTTGATGGATATTCTCTTTTTGCTTGGAGAGTGAAAAACTTTTTTGAAGATATTTTCAACATAGTTTATCTATATACAAGCCCGCCCAGATACAGACATTTTGAAGATATCTTAACCTCATTTTCCAACTGAGTTCGCGAACGAAACGAATTATAGGTCGAGGCCCCAAAAAATGTCCCGAAATTTGTCATTATCATTGCATGAAAATTGTAAAGGTCGATTGTTTATCGAAATTGTTTCTATTATAAATTTGTAAACATAGAATATTTCTAAGAGAGTTATCGATATACTACACATCGATTTAATTTTATTATTTATTAGTAAAGACATATACCGTTTCGGTGTTCGAAAAATAAGTACTAATTCCCATTGCTGCTCATATAATCTAAGAAAAAATATTTTCCATTATTCAGAAAAAATCATATAAGATTATTTTAAAATCTCCTGTTGGAACCAAATTAAAAATATTTATATTTAATGGATTTTGGATTCATATTCTTACGAAAATATCGATAAATAACAACAATTGTCGCTAATGTAATCGATGGTATGCATCCTTCATAGCAAAGACGAGCACCCGAATTGGAAACCGATTTATGTGTACTAGAGAGAAATCGGTTATATTCCCAATTGGAATTTTGCTTGGTTGTCGTCTACGACATGTACATTAAACGGCATTTACATTAGAACTTTTTACCGGGACATGATTTACATGTATACAATGAAATTGACAATTGAAACCCACTGGGTTAACGAAATCCGGTATAATGTAAACGTACTATTAGTACAAGTTTTGTTATATTTTCTTAAAATATTCCCTGAAGATTTCAACGTGTAAATTTTACACATTTTCCAAAATTTAATTTTCGAATGCATGATATCAATATTTTATATTATATTAATTTATTTAAAAAGAAACATTTACAAATACGACTGAGAAAACGAATTAAATGAAGCATTAAATTAACAACAAAGATGTTCGTTACCGTACAAAGAGGAAGAAAATGAGTAACATTAAGAAGAAATAATACCTGATACGTGTCCGTCCGTCCGTCTGTCTGCCAGCAACAATAAGAAGAAATAATACTGAGACGTGTTCGTCCGTCTGTCTGCCAGAACCTATACGAGCACATAAGTTGAATATGAAAATTCAATTCCCTTTTGTTTTGTAAAATTACAAGTGGATTTTTGTTGGTTTATCGGGTTTTCCAACAAAAGGAGGAGATTTATACAACACGCACACGGCAAAATGGCAACAAATTGACAAAAGGAACCTTGAAAGGATTCTGAAGAAATCTTGACATTACCATGCCCATACACACACAATGAGAATTGTTTTAATTGTAAATATCTGAAAGATAAGAATGTGAAATTGTGCACTTTGCCACTGGTTCGGAATACAACAATTTTACATTCGGTTGTCCTTACTGTATTTCAATGTAAATGAGTTTTAGGTTGACCAATTTAAAGGGTTAAAGGGTTAACCAAAAGAACCCTTTTTAACCCATCTTTTTAAAGAATATTTTTTCAATGACTCTCGAAGTTGTAAGCGTGGATTTTTAAAGAATATTTTTTCAATGACTCTCGAAGTTGTAAGCGTGGATTTTTAAAGAATATTTTTTCAATGACTCTCGAAGTTGTAAGCGTGGATTTTTAAAGAATATTTTTTCAATGACTCTCGAAGTTGTAAGCGTGGATTTTTAAAGAATATTTTTTCAATGACTCTCGAAGTTGTAAGCGTGGATTTTTAAAGAATATTTTTTCAATGACTCTCGAAGTTGTAAGCGTGGATTTTTAAAGAATATTTTTTCAATGACTCTCGAAGTTGTAAGCGTGGATTTTTAAAGAATATTTTTTCAATGACTCTCGAAGTTGTAAGCGTGGATTTTTAAAGAATATTTTTTCAATGACTCTCGAAGTTGTAAGCGTGGATTTTTAAAGAATATTTTTTCAATGACTCTCGAAGTTGTAAGCGTGGATTTTTAAAGAATATTTTTTCAAGGACCCTCAATGCAAATTTTTAATGAACAATTAGCGTCAATTTGTTAATGAATATTTTAATATGAGTCGATTTTATATAGATAATATTTGTTCAGAGCAAAAAGCGTGAACGTTGCAAGAAATATATTTCTAAAGGATAATTTATATAATTAGCGCCGATTTTTTACAGAATATTTTTTTTTTCAAGAAACTTCGAAGCAATTAGCTTAGATTTTTGAGGACCTTCAAAGCAATGAGCGTGGATTTTATGAAGAATATTTTTCAAGGCCCTTCAAAGAAATACACTTGAATTTTTTTAAGGTCCTTCAGAGTACCATAACTCGGTCGGTCGATGTCGGTCCGTGTATAGGTATGAGAACAAAGCCACAGAGAGAAGTAAGGTCACAAGCGTGGATTTTTTGAATTGTTTCTCGGATTATTATATTCAAAAGCGCGGATTTTGTAAGAATATTATTCAAGACCTATCAGAGGAATATCTATTAGGTTTTTTGAAGATTTTTTTTTTTTTTTTTTGAAAAAAAAAAATTTAAGAATTTTTAAGGGACTATCGTCGTAGATTTGTTACGATTTTTCGGCTTTTTTATTTCACTATTATTTCTATCAAAACATTCCATTACATCCCAATATACAAATAAGTTATATATGAATCTTAATCACCTCATAAGCTTCACTGACTTTACCCTTGGAATTCTTCTTTTTTTTCAATAAATATGTACTTGTTCTTCTTCTTCTTCTACTTGAACAGATTTCGATCAAGATGGCTTCATTGGACGTGCTGACCTTCTGTGTAGCTTGACCACAATGACCAAAAATGAATTAAGCCCTGAGGAGCATCAACAAATTGCCGATAAGGTTTTGGAGGAGGCTGATGTCGATGGCGATGGCAAATTGTCATTTCTCGAATTCGAGCATGTCATTTTACGTGCACCCGATTTCCTTTCAACATTTCACATAAGGATTTAATTGTTGTGTGCCACACAAAGTTGGGAAACCAACGATGCAGACGCAGAGAGAAGGAGGGCAAATATTCTATCTTCTCTGGTAGTTATTGAATGGGAATTCTTGCAGTAGAAAAGGATATGATAGCAACACAAAGAATGTCATATGCACACAACAGGCACACACACACAAATATGCTTTTGCATATATATGTATGTGGACATAAATATAAATAAAATCAAATAAAGTTCTTAATCTACAATCAATAAATTCAGTGCAAGAATTTTTCCATTTTTTGCTTTTGCTTTTGTTGTTGTTGTTTTGTTTTTTTATTTTTTTCATTATTTGTTACAATATCAAATAGTTTTCTCCAAAGAACACAGAAGTTATTTAAACAAGTAGGAGGTTTGTGTGTGTGTTTTTGTTAAATCATCAAACAACAACAACAAAAAGGGAAAAAATAACTGCAAGATTGGAATGCATTTTAGTGTGTAGGCATGAACGGCTGAAAGTAATAGAATGGGTAAGTGATGAAGAAACAAACATAGAAAAGAAAATATTCTCCAAATTCCTGACAATAAAGAAGTTTTCACATGCAGAGATCGAAGTTACTTCTCTGCCCGAAAAGTAAGAGACTGGAATGGATTGGAAGGATTAAAAAAACTACTTGAAAGCAAAAACAAACTTTTTTCTTAATTTTTTTTTTTTATAAAAGAGAAAATTGCATTATTGCAGCATTGTTGTTCTCCTGTTACTGCTGTATTCTGCCTTAGGTTATGGGGCTGCCATCTACCGCTGTCTAGAAACAACGCATCATTGAATTGCGTGAAGTTTTGCTTATTTAATGTTGCCATTTTCCTCTGGGTGGCGCTATCTGCTGTAATTTCTATTTTGGGTAACTCATATCTTGATATAAATATTGGAAAACCACTTTGAAGTAACTTTTCGTCTTACGCTGTTGTAGCCCCTGGATTTTATAAAGAATATTTTCTCAAGGACCTTTATAGAATTTGAAAGACCATCAGAGCAATAAGCCTGATTTTTATAAGAATATATTTTCTATGACCCTCAGAGCAATAAGCGTGGATTTTTTAAGAATATTTTTTCAAGGACCAACAGAGCAATAAGCGTGGATTTTTTAATATATTTTCAAGGACCCTCAGAGCAATAAGCGTGGATTTTTGAAAGAATATATTTTCGAGGAACCTCAGAGCAACAACAGTGGATTTTTAAAGATTTTTAAATTTTTAAAGACCTTCAGAGCAATAAGCGTGGAATTTGTAAGAATATTTTTTCAAGGACCCTCGGAGCAATAAGCGTGGAATTGTTAAGAATATGTTTTTAAGGACCCTCAGAACAATGAGCGTGGATTTTTAAAATATATTTTCAAGGGCCCTCAGAGCAATAAGCGTGGATTATTTAAAGAATATATTTTCAAGGACCCTCCGAGCAATAAGCGTGGATTATTAAAAAAATATATTTTCAAGGACTCTCCGAGCAATAAGCGTGGATTATTTAATGAATATATTTTCAAGGACTCTCCGAGCAATAAGCGTGGATTATTTAATGAATATATTTTCAAGGACTCTCCGAGCAATAAGCGTGGATTATTTAATGAATATAAGCGTGGATTATTTAATGAATATATTTTCAAGGACTCTCCGAGCAATAAGCGTGGATTATTTAATGAATATAAGCGTGGATTATTTAATGAATATAAGCGTGGATTATTTAATGAATATATTTTCAAGGACTCTCCGAGCAATAAGCGTGGATTATTTAATGAATATATTTTCAAGGACTCTCCGAGCAATAAGCGTGGATTATTTAATGAATATATTTTCAAGGACTCTCCGAGCAATAAGCGTGGATTATTTAATGAATATATTTTCTAAGAATATTTTTGTCAAGCAACAGATCAATCAGGGCAATAAGAGAAAATTACATGACCATCGGACGTATATTTTTGAAACAACAATTATTTCAGGACTATCGGGCGTATATTTTTGAAACAACGTTTATTTCAGGACACCCAGAAGGGCAAGTGGGTTAAGAAATAAACTAATCTAGAGCTAGTCTCTAAAAAGTCTTCGAATTTCAGTTCGTAAATAAAAACCAATCTGATTTTTTACTGGCGTAATGAAGGCTATATGAACATTAATTCGTGTACATCGACACAATTTATGACGTCTTTAACTGTAACCCATGTTTAAACAAATATTGAGTTTATAGAACCTCAAGCTCGGCTATTATTTTTTTTAGTATATAATCAACAAATACTTTCAAAAATCCCATCTGAATTTATTAGGACCTACGTAGGCCTATAAGGACTACATACCAATCTCCAATAAAGAAACATTAACTTTGTATATCTAGGATGGTAAAGGTATTCTCTATATGCGAGCTGAAGGGTCTATAGAGAATAAAACTTGTCTACAAAGACCCCCTTCATCTCTTTTATAGATACTCACAGCAGATTATACGTAAATATCCTTTTTACTCAAAAATTACTCCCTTAAGATCATGTGGAAAGACTCCCTTTACATACATGGGGAATTCAGTAGGGGTATAAAGACCCCTTTGATTGCTCCTTCAGTTCGTCTATAAAGACTCCTTTCAGCTCATTTTCGGTTCGTCAATAGAGGATCTCATCTACTCGCTTATGAGAACTTCATTCAGTTTGCCTGTAAAGACTTTCTGAAACTAAACTCTTCCTCTCTCGTCCTAAGACGCCCTTCAGTTCGTCTACAAAGACTCCCTTCAGTTCGTCTACAAAGACTCCATAAACCTCGTCTATAAAGTCTCCCTTCAGCTCGTCTCTAAAGATCACCTTCACCTCGTCTATAAAGATTCCCTTCGGTTCGTATATAAAGATTACATTCAGTTCGCCTATAGAGACTCCCTTTAACTCGTCTATGAAAACATCCTGAACTTTTTCTATTTATATTTTTGCGACCCATATTAATATCCCTTACTGGTCATTGTAGAAGAAAAAAAAACTTCACAACAATTTAAATGTATTCATTCGTAAAGCTGATATATGAATTTGTCAAGGGGCAAGCCGACACAAAAAAAAATATAAAATATCTATCTATACAAATCTATGGATATATTTTTTCCTATATAACGATTCAAATGAAAATTCCGATATATGTATTTTTATTTTCATTTCTTGCAATGATTTTCATACCAATCCTGGTGCTGCTGCTGTTGATGACCTTTGGGAATGTTTGAAACAAATATCAAACTAAAATTCTTCAACTGGGTTTGATGTTTTTATATCACAAAAAAAAAAAACTATTCTCACAAAAGCATGTCGGCTTTCGATTCAATGAAATGAATAAAAAATGAGTAAAAAAAATAAAAATTTAGATTGCATTTTAAGAAAAAGATTTAATTGCACATACATACAAACATAAATATTGATGAAACGTTAACTTGTATTTAACCACAAAGATATTGTCACTGGAAGGTCAGTACTTTGAGATATTTAAAGGGTGGTGACAAAATAGGAGAAATATTTGAGGATTTCCATTTCTTTAAAGCGACATTTTTCCTATTAAAAATATGAGAACTTCAATTAGAATGTATAGCAGAGAGAGAGAGAGAGTCAAGGACATATCAGATATATTGCAAAATAGCCAACGAGTGTGTTCCAATGCATTACAGATAACAAACAAATTTCAATAATAAAAAAATTTAGAGAAAATTAATTTACATATTGCCATATAAAACAGGTACATTCCGATCAATTGGTATCTTGTTCTTATTACATATTTTAAAAAATAAATTAGTATGAAACAAACTTACCTCTGTTTGATGATGTGTGGAGTTGATTGCTGAATCTGTTTGGCATTGATATTGCATTTCAATTGTTTCTCTGCATGCACACACATGCATGCAAATACATAATTCTTCATAAATATATTTTATTTAATTATGTTTATTTCTTTCTCTTTTTCTGAGAATTCTTCATAATAACTATGTAAATTAAGTCTTATAGTATTATGGAAAAATATTTTTCTTAAAAAATAAAATATTTCTTTATTTATTTATTTTTTTTTCTTATTGCTCCAGCAGCATGTGAATGGACTGCATAATTTCTTGGGTTTGTTTAACATATTTGGCAAAATGTGTATCTGGCTTAGGATCCAAATCCAATAAAGTGATTTTCGTCATAAAGTGTTGCCCATTTATGCAGATCATACGGGGATTGGCGTTTAAGCTCCTAGCAAGTAAAAAAGTGAAAAAAGGATTTGTGAGAAAAATGGAAAATTTCAGTTTCATTAACTCATTTTAAAGTCTGTTTTTGTTTTTCTTACCCATTGTCAGGCATATTTTTTGTTGACACTTGACGAAATGTTATCATTATGGAACAATCCAAGACAGTGGCAGCCAACTGGTATTGTTCTTCGGCACTCAATTGAGAAATTCCCAATTTCTGTTTTTGGTATTGAAATTTCTTGAGCAGAGTTGATAAAATGTCATAGGATTTGCCTTTTTTCTTGTGATAGTTCTCCTTAAGCATATGGACGAAATTTTGCTGTAAAAAAGAGAGAAGGAAAAGTTGAAAAAATAAAAAATTATAGAAAAAAAAACGTATAAAATGTCCTGTCGGAATATGAGCTCAGGCTCCCTCCACGTCGACTGTAACGACTCCTTTATCTATTGATACTCCCACTAGGATATTCCCTTCAGCTCGTCTATAGAGACTCCCTTCAGTTCGTCTATAGAGATTCCCTTCAGCTCGTCTATAGAGACTCCATTCGGCTCGTCTATAGAGACTCCCTTCAGCTCTTCTATAAAGACTCCCTTCTTCAGCTCGACTATAGAGACCCCCTTCTTCAGCTCGTCTATAAAGACTCCCGTCTTCAGCTCGTCTATAGAGACTCCCTTTTTCAGCTCGTCTATAGAGACTCCCTTCTTCAGCTCGTCTATAGAGAATCCCTTCTTCAGCTCGTCTATAGAGACTCCCTTCTTCAGCTCGTCTATAGAGACTCCCTTCTTCAGCTCGTCTATAGAGACTCCCTTCTTCAGCTCGTCTATAGAGACTCCCTTCTTCAGCTCGTCTATAGAGACTCCCTTCTTCAGCTCGTCTATAGAGACTCACTTCTTCAGCTCGTCTATAGAGACTCCTTCCTTCAGCTCGTCTATAGAGACTCCCTTCTTCAGCTCGTCTATAGAGACTCCCTTCTTCAGCTCGTCTATAGAGACTCCTTTCTTCAGCTCGTCTATAGAGACTCCCTTCTTCAGCTCGTCTATAGAGACTCCCTTCTTCAGCTCGTCTATAGAGACTCCCTTCTTCAGCTCGTCTATAGAGACTCCTTTCTTCAGCTCGTCTATAGAGACTCCTTTCTTCAGCTCGTCTATAGAGACTCCCTTCAGCTCGTCTATAGAGACTTCCTTCAGCTCGTCTATAGAGACTCCCTTCAGCTCGTCTATAGAGACTCCCTTCAGCTCGTCTATAGAGACTCCCTTCAGCTCGTCTATAGACACTCCCTTCAGCTCGTCTATAGAGACTCCCTTCAGCTCGTCTATAGAGACTCCCTTCAGCTCGTCTATAGAGACTACCTTCAGCTCGTCTATAGAGACTCCCTTCAGCTCGTCTATAGAGACTCCCTTCAGCTCATCTATAGAGACTCCCTTCAGCTCGTCTATAGAGACTCCCTTCAGCTCGTCTATAAAGACTCCCTTCAGCTCGTCTATAGAGACTCCCTTCAGCTTCTATAGAGACTCCCTTCAGCTCGTCTATAGAGACTCCCTTCAGCTCGTCTATAGAGACTCCCTTCAGCTCGTCTATAGAGACTCCCTTCAGCTCGTCTATAGAGACTCCCTTCAGCTCGTCTATAATTACACCCTTCTACCTGAAAAGTCACTCTGACCTTCAGGTCATTTAAAAATGTCTATAAATGGTGACATAGTTTCGTATCCTATTTAGGAACCGCGATATACATCTTACTTTACATTCGCTTCCTTAAATGTTGCCTTTCATCACTTTGTCTAAAAATCACTTACCAAATCCCCTGACCATGGCGCTAAACACTTTGTCTCAATAACATTTTTTTCTTTTTCTTATTAAATTTCCATTTATGAATTGTGTTTTTTTTTTTCATCAACACTTTCGGGTTACTACACAAAGTAAGGTTTAAATGGAAGCTCGGAAATGTTTTAACAAACCATAGGTCTTTGTCCACTCATCATTTTGTGCATTTTGTCTTTTCAAGGTTTATTGTGCACCTTTTATCCCTTCGAGTTTTTTTTCTTTCAACTACCTTTTGCTTTTCGTCCAATGGCCTTCAAATGCTTTATCGCATGGATGGTTTTACAAGGTGTAAAAATAAAACCCCTTAACTATGTATGTGTGTGTGTGTCGGTACATGCATGACTGTGTGGGTGTTAGAAAATGCTAGAGCTTTACTCACCTTGGCCAGCAACTGTAAATTTAGAATTTTTTGCAAAACACAATTTTTCGGTAAGCTCAACATTTCCGGTTTGTTCTTTGGCTCAACAGAGACATCACTTCTGCCAACGGATGTGGGACAATGGCTGGGGGAATCACTAAACCCAGCTAAAGACGAGTTCTTGGTATCACTGGATTGCTGCGATGTAGTGGTAGTGCCAGTGGATGAAGTAATGGTTCCTGCCATTTTACTATTTGGCTTAGTGGCGGCACTGATGATGCTGCTACTGCTGCTGGTAGTGGTGATGGTGGTGTTAGCTGTAGTGAAAGTTGTGTTAACTTTTGTTACATCCGATTCCGGTTGTGTTTCCGCTTTTATTGTTTTTAGTTTTTTACCAGGCGTTGTAGGGCTGCTCTGTGGATCGGCATTGTCATGTGCCAATCCCTTGGCAGTAATTTGCACATCTCGTGACTTAGTTGCCATGACGTCGTCAATGTTGTCATCAATGTCCGGATTTGCATTGGCTGCAATATTTGGTCCATTGGGGTTGTAGTCTTTAAGTAGACATGTCACCAGCAATTCTTTAAGAATATGAAGTTGATTGCTGCAAAGAATGGAAACTCGATTTTAAAATATTGCCAAAAAGTCGAATTTATTTCGATTGTCGGACCCTGTGATTCTGGATATTACAAAAAAGAAAAATCATGGAGGATAATGTCACGGGTCCGACAAAGGACAATGACTTTAAGGTATACAAAATTAAACTGGAAAATCCTATGTGTTCCAATGAAAACTGAGAATCTATATTGAAAATTGAGAACATGGAAATATTATAAGCGTGGATTTTTTTAAATATATTTTTTTCAGAGACTATCACAAGCGGTGGCATATTAAAAATAATTTTTAGAAAGACTATCATATCAAAAGCAAAATACGCCAAGGTCCAGGGAAGTTCTTGATTGGAAATGGACCATTATATTTGGAAAGATATTTCTAAATATTTTCTTGAGCATGTTTAGAGATGGGCAGTGGGTAAATACCCAAAGGGTAAATACCCGGTAAATTGGGTAAATACCCGGTAAATTGTGTAAATACCCATTTGTGGGTATTTATTTGGGTATTTACTATATTGAATCGGTAATACAACATCTTGCACCCTATTTCCAGGTTTCTGTTATCAAATCGATTTAGAATGAATAGTTTTACGATACTTTAAAGACGTGGGTAAAAACTTGGGTAAATACCCGAGTTTTTACCCAAAAATTGGGTATAAACTCATTAACTGCCGAACCACTTGACATAGGCGGCCAAAATTTTGCACACATGTTTCTAATGTCAAAGCAAATATAGAAATCCAACATGGGGTCCCTGGGTCCAAGTTTTGATATAGCCCCCATATAACCGTATCTCCCGATTTAAGGTATTTTTAGCCTATTAGACACATTTTAAGGCCAAATTGGCTGTAATTTTGCACAAAGTGTTCTTTTTGAGTACAAAATGTCCATGCAAAATTTTATGTATGTAGGTCCACGTTTACTGGTAGCCCCTATACAAAGGTACCCCTATTTTGAGTATTTACCCAAAAATTGGGTATAAACTCACTAACTGCCGAACCACTTGACATAAGCGGCCAAAATTTTGCACACATGTTTCTAATGACAAAGCAAATATAGAAATCCAACATGGGGTCCCTGGGTCCAAGTTTTGATATAGCCCCCATATAACCGTATCTCCCGATTTAAGGTATTTTTTGCTTATTAGACACATTTTACAACCAAATTGGCTGTAATTTGGCACAGAGTGTTCTTTTTGGGTACCAAATGTCCATGCAAAATTTTATGTATGTAGGTCCACGTTTACTGGTAGCCCCCATACGAAGGTACCCCTATTTTGAGTATTTACCCAAAAATTGGGTATAAACTCACTAACTGCCGATCGGGAGGTACGGTTATATGGGGGCTATATGGCCGCCTATGTCAAGTGGTTCGGCAGTTAGTGAGTTTATACCCAATTTTTGGGTAAATACTCAAAATAGGGGTACCTTTGTATGGGGGCTACCAGTAGACGTGGACCTACATACATAAAATTTTGCATGGACATTTGGTACCCAAAAAGAACACTCTGTGCCAAATTACAGCCAATTTGGCCTCAAAATGTGTCTAATAGGCTAAAAATGCCTCAAATCGGGAGATACGGTTATATGGGGGCTATATCAAAACTTGGACCCAGGGACCCCATGTTGGATTTCTATATTTGCTTTGTCATTAGAAACAAGTGTGCAAAAATTTGGCCGCCTATGTCAAGTGGTTCGGCAGTTAGTGAGTTTATACCCAATTTTTGGGTAAATACTAAAAATAGGGGTACCTTTGTATGGGGGCTACCAGTAGACGTGGACCTACATACATAAAATTTTGCATGGACATTTGGTACCCAAAAAGAACACTCTGTGCCAAATTACAGCCAATTTGGTTGTAAATGTGTCTAATAGGCAAAAAAATACCTTAAATCGGGAGATATGGTTATATGGGGGCTATATCAAAACTTGGACCCAGGCACCCCATGTTGGATTTCTATATTTGCTTTGTCACATGAAACATGTCAAGTGGTTCGGCAGTTAATGAGTTTATACCCAATTTTTGGGTAAAAACTCGGGTATTTACCCAAGTATTTACCCACGTCTTTAAAGTATCGTAAAACTATCTATTCTAAATCGATTTGATAACAGAAACCCGGAAATAGGGTGTAAGATGTTGTATTACCGAGTCAATATAGTAAATACCCAAATAAATACCCGCAAATGGGTATTTACCCGGTATTTACCCACCCCTTGGGTATTTACCCGGTAAATACCCGGTAAATACCATCTCTAAGCATGTTATCCCATTAGTGGAACAACAAAAACGAAGTCTTTTGCCCTAGATCTAAAATTTCCCGAAAATAAAAATGATTATGCTTTCAAATCCATTTTTTTCCATTTAACACTATTATTTGATGTTAGTGTATAACCAATGGAATATTTATTGTTGGTGGTGGTGATGGTAGTGGTGTTACCATTACTGTTGTTGTTAAAATTATTTTCATTGGTGTTACCCGCCGGCAAGCAAGCAGCAGCAGTCAACAACATTTATTTTCTTCCGATTCGTATGCGGTGCAAGTGTCACAGTTGTGCAAATATTGGTTGAGTCCAATGCAATTGGGTTCAATGGTCTGGTTGGTGGGTTGTTGTTGTTGTTATTTTCTCTTTCTGTATCCTTTCAAGTTTTACTTGCGGTAGTGTGTATGTGTGTGTTCAGGACACAGATGACTTTGTAATTTTATTTGATTTCCCTCAGTTTGGTTTCACAGAGTCGAGAGTCTCAAATGTTTTCGGTTTAGTTGCTACTATTTATTTGTTGGAGGTTTTCTTTTCTTCTTTTGGGTGAAAATTGTAAGAAAATGTATTTCTTTTCATTATTTATGGTTAGTTTATTTTGTATGTGTGTGTTTTTTGTTCGCTTGTCAAAGTGCACTTATATTTTATTGAGCTCCAAATGCTTGGGCTTTCTATTGAGACCCAAAGCGTGAGAGTACACAAAAGTAAGTAACTCCACCAAAATGGTAGAGTCAATAATTTTCAAATTGCAATCAAAGGTAACAAATGGTTGCACGGAATTAGAGCAAAGCAAAGAAAATTAACAAGAATCCGCAATAACAGGATGTCAATAAATTAATGCAATTTTTTTTTCAGAAACCTAGGGGAAATCTGAGGAAAGCATTTTGATTATTTTTTTTTTGTAAAAATGTTATTCGATAAAATAATTGTTTAGTTTAGTCATGTGGAATAAGTATCCGAATCGTATGGGGCAGTCAAATGTCATTGGCAGGATAGTAGACTGGGAATATCAAATATAGGTCGGGTTTTGCCGCTCAAAACCCCTTATTATTCACATGAAAAGGGTTGTTTTACAAGGGAGTCCACTTAGGTAGTTTAAAAAACAATCATCTTGTATTAAATTTCTTTAAAACTTTTATAATTTTTACACAGTTCTGCTTCGTCAGGAGTGTCTATTTTCTCAGCCCAAAAAATCCGTCTGCCCATTTTTTAAATTCCACTGCTACATATAACATTTTTGTTCTTCCTATTTTTTGCCATTTTTTATTATTTTAACTTACCTCGGAAATAAATCTTCAATTTTGGACAAGCGGCTAAGTTGGTCATCGAACACAACGATGCCATTCTTGAAGATACGTAAATTATTCTGAGGACATGTGAAAAGTGCATGCAAAGCATTCCACATTCGAGCTGGCACACTTTCAAAAGGACCCCATAAATATGCATACGAAAAGCCAAAAAAGCAGCCGGAACAACGAACGACACATCGATTATTGCAGAAAGCAGGGTGTGTGTGTGAGAAAGAGAGAGAGATAGAGAGATGGAAAAATAGAAAGAAAAAACCCGAACGTTAAAATGATAAAAACCATATTGAAAGTGAAATTGATTTTGATATTGGCTGTGTAAGATAATAAATTGCCGATGTAATACCTACCCAGAGAACAAATCGATGGGACAGTAATTGCTGCGCTGGAGAATTTTTTGCTGCTGCAACTAATATAAAGAAGATAAATGGAAAGATAAAAGTTAGGCCATAGACAACAACAAACATAAATGTAATTTAAAAAATATAAAAATAAAAAAATTTAATAAAGCACAGTGGGAGGATGAAAAAATCCACCGGAGGATTTTAAATCAGGACAATTTTTGACAAAAAAAAACCGTTATGAAAACCTAGCAGGTTGGATATTTTTAAAAAATATTTTTTCTAGGATTTAGCAGAGCTATAAGCGTGAATTTTTAAATATATTTTAACAAGGACTATAAGATTCAAATAGGCGTGAATTGTTAAAGAATATTTTTAAAGGGCTAGGCGAGAATTTTTAAAGAATATTTTTTCACTTTTTCAGGGCTAACATAGGCGTGGATTTTTTAAAATATGTTCCCAAAGACTGTCCATAAATGTTGATTTAAATGAATGCTGAGCCCCAATGGGAATAACATACGCCAGTACTTTATTTTTTTCACAAAGCACAAATATTTACCTTTAAAAACTGCATGCTGCAATAGCGACACCTGATGTCCACCTCGTCATGTAAGACTCCCACTGTCGTTCCTGATGCTGGCGCTTCTTCTTCGTGTATGGCTGACAATGATTTTTGTTGTTGTTGAGGAGATGTTGTAGTTTTTGTTATGGATGACTTATTTTGAGTGGCCGTAAAGCATTCTTTGTCAGCTGATGTTTGCAATGTGCCTTTGGATGTGGATGTGGTGGAGGTGTAGGTGTAGGTGACAGGTTCCACATCCACTAAACTATATGCAGTTGTTTCTGTTGCTACTGTTGTTGGCTGTTGCACAGCTACTCCTGTTGTTGGCTTTATATCAAATAAATTGTTAACATCGTTGGGTAAGAGCCAGCCTTGTTTCGGTTTTATTTCAATGGCGAATGTATCTTCCAGGAAAATATTGTTGCTGGCACCAGCGATGGCATCCTGGTCATCAGCAGGACTACAACAACATTGTTGTTTTGATTTTGTTTGCTTTGTTTCACAATGACCCATGAAATACCAAACATCCAAAAAAGAAAAAAGACAACAACATTCAAAGATAACAAAGAGCCAGGCAGGTATTCTTCAACAAAAAATAAAGAGAGGGAGAAAAAAGACTCCCCAAACAGCCAAGAGCTTTCCGTCCAAACAAATACCAAAAAACCCAAACCAGTTAAAAACCATGAAAATAATAAATTGTATAAACAAACAAAGAACAGCAAAAAACGAACGGGAGCCAGACTTAAACTCATAAAAATCACAGCAGACTTTAGAAGTTTATTTTGATTTTTTTAGTTCGGTGCCTGACATAATAAAACTTAAACAAAAATCAGATATCCAATGATGCATGGTCCTGTATGCAGCCCGGAAATGAAGGAATGGTAGCCATCAGTTGGTTGTTGTGGCTGTGGCAACAATAGAACACCAACACCATCACATCTACCCACAACCAAATGCAACCAGAAGTTGAAGTTTGGGAGTTTTTTTTTTTTGCTATTTCAGCATTAAATTGAGAGTGAAATATATAACCGAAAATGGACAGTGGAAAACTTCAGAGGATGGATTATCATATGTGGTAAATACAAAGGATATACATATGCCCGAGACTGGTCAATATGTCTATTTAAGGGAAGCTTTAAGATGAATTATGAGGTTTTTGTTTCGGAAGTTTGAAAAAGTTAACAAAGCTGTGGTCTGTATTTGTAAGACAATTTCTAAGAAAAATAGAACTGCTTTATTAAACTCGTGTGCTGCTTTATTTACATATATTTTAAGGGTGTGTCTAAGGCGCGGATTTAAGAACAATATATATATATATATATAATATATTTTTTCTAAATGTACGCCCGAGACGTGGATTTAAAATATATTTTTTTTCAAAGACTAACAAAGGCGTGGATTTTTTAAAAATATTTTTCAAAGACTAACAGAGGCGTGGATATTTTAAAAATATATTTCAAAGACTAACAGAGGCGTGGATTTTTTAAAAATATTTTTCAAAGACTAACTGAGTCCTTCTGTGCTTCAGGAAACAGAACCTCTACTTTTCGAATATAATATTTTTTAAACATTAGCCGTTTTCCTTCGGGACCCTTTTGTGGATCTGTGGGATGCAGGAAAAATGGAAATAGTAGATCTATTCTCAGCATTCAAAATTTCTTCAATTCCTCGTAAGACTTAAGTGAAACATAATTGTGGGCATAATTTATGTTCTAAACATCGTCATATGTTCCACCTCCCGAATTTAAGCACATGGGAACCTTATTCCGTCCGCAATGTGGAAACAACACCACATGCATGATTACATGGCAACCAAACAACATGTGGTAATAGTGTTGCATGTTCTGGTGCAACATTTTGTTGTTGCACGAAGCAATCATTTCAAAGCAATAAACTAACCAAGGACAACAATAGTTAAATGCTAAAAAAATGGAAAAATGAAATTACAACAATGATTTATTATTTTCTAAGGAAATAAACAAAAGGACTCTCTGGCATCAATGGTGCTGCTACAAAAAAAGCTTGTACCTTGCAACTACTCGTATACGAAATTTACAGCTACAATGTTGCGTTACTTTCGAAGATTGGAACATAAAAAAACGCACACGATACAAAAAAAACTCGAGGGGGCTGCAGTCCCCCCACGAAGAATGCACAGAAGGAGGCATAGAAATTGTATGGAAGACTGGCTGTGAGGAGGGCTACCCACTCAGGGATAAAGCTGGAAAGAGAAAATTGTTGTTTTTTACCTGTGAATTGGAAAATAAACTATCGAACTCTGCTGGCAAACGGGTAGCATCTGGCAGTAACAAACCGTAATGGCCACCAAATTCTTTATCCAAACGATTAACTGCAAAAAGAAAGAAAATGTGAAAAAAACACAGAGGGTTAGAATAGTTTGTCGAGAAAAATGACAGAATGCAAATTGAAAAAGGAAATTGAAAAAATGTTATTAGGGAGATGGTATTCAAATATAACTGCAGGACAAAATATCCAATAAGGCTATGTCTAAATGTACATAATTAGAATATAAAATAAAAAACCTTCGAGAATGTATAAAAATTCTAGAACTTTTAGAAACAGCTATGAATATTTGTTATATTGTCTTGGGGGTTGCACTTTGAGTCTCACAACTTTAGTCCCGAGAGACGTAACTCTAAAAAAACTCATAAATAGTAAACATTTCTTAGTGCAACTAAACATTCCAATGATGATTTTGTTGTATTTCTTTCTTCGTTTAATAGTTTCCGTTGGCAAAAACAAGCTAACATTTTACATGAACCCACTCAGACGAATACATTTTGTTTTCCATTTCCCCTTGCAACAATTTCAAGATTTTCCCCAACATAACTGCAACAACAACAATGTTTAGAAAACAAAGTTATTGCATCTCAATCTACACAAAGGTATTTCGAATAGATGCCATTCCTTGTACATTTCAATCCATCATTTTATCCCTTTGCAAACGAATGAGTACCCATCCAGCGTTTCGTCCTCTTTGCTGCCATCTGACAACAAAGTTCAATTCTTGCAAAACTTGATGCTCTACTTGAATTGTGGTTACATATTAAGTTTGTTACATGGAATTATGACCGAGGGAAGTTTTAGAGAAATTTTTTAAATGGCAATTTTCCAGAAATAAAAATGTTATTTTCATTTTTTTTCACCAAGCATAAAAATTAGCAATTCTTCGGAGAATAAAATCTGTTACTTGGAAATTGTTTCAATGGAAGTTTGAGCTGGGACTTCCATTGAAGTTTTATTGTGGACAATTACATGTGATTTCTATGAAAGTGAATTTTATTTAAATGGTTAAAAACATACACATTAAGAAAATTTTCTAATTTTATGATATTTCATTAATAGAATGTCTTTAAGTCCGTGTCAAAAGATTTTCCATGAAATGGTCACTTATAGACCAGCTGGTCTAATTGCATGATCTATAAAATAGATGGAAACATATTTTCACTGGAGTTGAGGTTTTTTTTACCGAAGATATAATATTATATTCCAACATATCACATTCTGGGATTCTTACGGAATACGAAAATAAGGTGTAATATATCAAAATGAAAAGAAACGTAAATAAGAACATCCAATATTCTAAAATCTGTTATTCTCGTTATCTATGAGAAGAAATGTATTCGCCAATAAAACGATCTGGTCCCCAGCCCATTCATGACGACACTTTTAATCTATAGCTCGCCTACAAAAACGTCATAAAAGGTTCTTGTGCTCCGGATCGATTTTTGACTGAAGCTCTTCAATAAATAATCCATATCTTCTGATCGTCTACAAACCCAGCCATCAGCTCATCGATAAAACCCTCCCGTTAGATCGTCCAAAAATACTGTTTTTATTTCTTGAGATGTTTTCAGCTTGTCAATATAGACTATATTCAACCCCTCATTAAAGACTCCATTCAGTTCTAAAGACTCTAAAACGTTTCCGCCGATAAAGACTCCCTAAGCTTCAGACACTCTCGTTAATAAATACCTTCTGACCTTCATTACACCTTTAAAGATCCGTCATCCTCCTATAAAAACTGTCCGAGTTTCACCTTACCTAAATATACTCCTTCAGTTTAACATTTGCGATAAATCGTTTTTATTTTCTCCGGATGCTCCTTATGCCAGCATCGTTATTCATGTTTTTGTATTCCAGCAAAATATATGATTGGTCTGTTGTCTGAATTTTGTGCATTGATTGAGGTACTTGTCTTACATGATGTTATTGCCATCTGTCGTTGTATAGAAACAACTCATGCTTGAAGTTTGGGCAGTGGTTGGGGTCCTGGCTTATTAAGTGTAATAATTTTCCATTTACTTCCTTCAAACTCCCTGAATTTTAAATTTTCTAAAAATAATTTCGAGCTTATGTTACACCTCTAACGACCTGTTAGACTTCTATAACATCGCATGGCCTTCAATAAGTAGGTAGATAAATAAGTAGGCTAAAAACTTCGAAGTAACGTTATTCACGTCTTATAATCCAGCAAAATAGATGATAAATCTGCTGCAGCGTGTTTTGGGTGCTAACACCTATCTTTGCCTAGGACCAAACTCTCCTTGAATTTGTGCAGTGAATGAGGTACTTGTCTTAAATGATGGTACTGCCATCTATCCTTGTATAGTAGTGTAGTTCTAGCTTATGAAGTGTAGTGATTTTCCTAATTCGAAATTTTAACTCTTCTAATAATAACACTATCTGCGCTTATCTCTCTTTGAGTTTTGTATCAAATATAAGTAGTAAATTGGCTATAAAGTCTCCCTATAATTGTTCCGCAGTTACTCCTTTTGGAAGCATTGTTAATCATTTTTTATTCCATGGTAGTAAATGATTATGCTGATGCAGAGGTTGGTTATTAGAATGTTAGGGGGGTTTCGGATGCATTCAGATGTATCGTGATGAAATGTAAGTATCCTTGAGCTTTGAATCGGCGATAAGTACCGAAGAGGCTATAAGGGCTGCATATCACTGTATGCCCAGTTACTATTTTGTATTTAAAATAATTTTGTATTCCATTGAAGTAAACCAATGGTCTGCGCTGCCATCTATTGTGGCCTAGAAACAACGCTTCCTTGAAATTTGTGGAATGGTCATTGCTTATGTAGTGTTGCAACAGGACATGGGTGGCGCCATCTCTTGCTACTTTTACCATGTGTTATCCTCATATCTTACTGCATTTCATTGAAGTACGATTTTTTAAAATTATTCGAAGCCCATTTTGAAAAAATTTTCCCCTTCCGCTGGTCTGACACAATCGAAAAAAATATTCTTCTTCTTCTATCTTCCATAAAATTACTTTTTATCTTCTCAAAAATGCTTATAAGAGGACCTTCTGATCCTCCACTAGAGACTTCAGTCTATAGAGCATTTTTTCTGTAAAGATTCTAGACGAACTGAAGGGAATCTTTACAGACTAGCTGGAGGAATTTTTTACAGGAGCTAAATGAGACGTTAGAGAGTTGAAGAATTTTTTGAGCCAGCCGAATCGGCGGAGGTCAAGGGAGTCATTATAGATGAGGTGAATGGAGTACTCGAGGTGCAGGGTGTCTTTATAGACGACATGCAAGGAGTCTTTATAAATACAAAGAAAATCTTTATTTTCCTATAATCTTCATTTGGTCTTCCATAATCTTTCATTTTTTAGAGCTATTGCAACAAGACATTGTCACGTATGTATTTCAACCGATATTCCTGTATTCTACAAATCTGCATACAAACAGTAAAAAAATGTGTTTTACATTAGAATATCTCCCTCAAAAGTCGGTGCCTACGACACTTCTTAAAATCTATCCACATTCTATCGTAATAAAATTTCTTATCAAAGAATATTCATTCAAGATGCAGCTCAAAATACCAAGTCATATTGCTATTGTATGGAAGAAGACAACAAAGATATCGCAACACCTTTTCATATCAATATCATCATACTATACGAAGGAACGAACGGCCAATCGAAAAAAAAAAAACATCGACACAACTAACCTTTGCCCTTGCAATTGAAAGCGATTTAAATGTTCAAATGGAAGTTCTGCTTTAGCATTTTCTGTTAGCCATTCAGTTTTATCTGGAGATTTGCTAACAAACAAAAACAAAATGATAAACATCAACTGCAAAGATGAACAAAGAAAAAGACATGTGTGGTGGGGGAGAGAGTGAAGAAATATAAAACTATACAATATAATGAAATTTGGCAAAGAGGTGGTGCTATTGTGGAAACAGAAGAAAAACTTTGACTGTGTATTTAATTCTTGCATATCATCATGATGGTTCGTTCGTTCGTTAAGCCAATCATGATTGATTTGAATTTGAATATCTGTATACAAAATCTCCTGAGGGAATATTATTGTTATGGTAATATTTTTTCGATACTAGAAAGAATAATTTGAATAAAAATATGCGGGTTATAAAGTTATAGACTTTAATTCCGCACTAAAGGCTTTAAAAGCCTTGCTTTGTATATGAAAAAAAATATTTATGATTTTTTATGAACATACTCAATGTATGTTTTGCCTGAATTTTATTTATTGTCAATAACAAAACAATAATTCAATACTCAGAAATATTTTGCAACAATTTATTCATTTATTACGACTAATTTTAAATAATAAAATTTTCATTGTAAAATGTTGTATTCCTGATATACCACACTATGAAAAAATTTAGAAAATTTTTTTATTTATTTGAATACCGAAACAAATGACCAAACTCATCATTCATTGGAATGCTGACCACTAGATGGCGTACACGAGACTATGCAAGTGCAGACTCTTCATCCATACCCACATCTTTTCACTTTACTTCGTTATAATTACATTTTTTGTTCGAATATCCGACAAATATTCCAAAAACAATCAACCCTTTGTTTTAATGTGTGTAGATCCATAGGCATTCCTACATTAGAATTTGGCCAGGCATTGGAAACAAATTGCAGTAGCTACAACATTGCTGCTATTGCATTTGAGTTCTTATTTAGCCAACTTATTGTGAATATTTGCTAACTTTTTGGCCAAATCAACATCAAAGTAGTCATATCTGTGGATAGAGTTAAAAAGCTAGACCACCTACCCAGAATAGAATATTGGCTGGAAATGGTTGGACATTGATCAAACAATGTGTTTCCGAAGAAAAAATATTGAAAAATTCTTCACATTTCCACAGACAGGCAAATATTTACACATATATGTATACTTTAGTTAGGTGGGTGAATGAGGAAGAGAGAGAGACGGGGAGGCAAAATTTTACACTGGAGTACAAATTATATTTAAAGGTAGAAAGTCTTTATACACGAGCTGAAGGGAGTCTCTATAGAAGAGCTGATGGGAGTCTCTATAGACGAGCTGAAGAAGGGAGTCTCTATGGACGAGCTGAAGAAGGGAGTCTCTATAGACGAGCTGAAGAAGGGAGTCTCTATAGACGAGCTGAAGAAGGGAGTCTCTATAGACGAGCTGAAGAAGGGAGTCTCTATAGACGAGCTGAAGAAGGGAGTCTCTATAGACGAGCTGAAGAAGGGAGTCTCTATAGACGAGCTGAAGAAGGGAGTCTCTATAGACGAGCTGAAGAAGGGAGTCTCTATAGACGAGCTGAAGAAGGGAGTCTCTATAGACGAGCTGAAGAAGGGAGTCTCTATAGACGAGCTGAAGAAGGGAGTCTCTATAGACGAGCTGAAGAAGGGAGTCGTCTCTATAGACGAGCTGAAGAAGGGAGTCGTCTCTATAGACGAGCTGACGTGAGTCGTCTCTATAGACGAGCTGACGTGAGTCGTCTCTATAGACGAGCTGACGTGAGTCGTCTCTATAGACGAGCTGAAGAAGGGAGTCTCTATAGACTTCAGAGACGAGAATCTCTATAGGAATCAGTAATGGACTAACTAGGTTCGCGAACATTACAAGACATTTTTCTCTAATTACAAGAGTCTCAAGACTTTGTGAGACTTACTTCATAATGTCCTGTTTCGAAGACCTAAGGCAAGCAATCATTATTTTTATGAACCAAATATATTTTGGCGAATAAATTTGCCTTCCTCTGTTACCATCTTAAAAGCTAAAGAAAAAAAATACACATCCGCATTGATACATACCTGGCCGGTACGGCCTAATGTGCTCATTTATCCAATCTCTGTCATTGGGATTTGGCACTGCAACAATATCCGCTTCGAATACAAACTCATTTCCCAGTAGGCAACGTATGATACCAATATAAGCCACATAATGGTCCATTGTCAAGATTCCAACAGCTGGTTTAGAGTATCCGCACACCACACGGCACACACACACACATATGAGGCCACACAAATAGGACGAAGCAGCCGGAAACATACAAATGAAATTCGAAAGAAATAAAGAAAAAAAAGAGTTGAATTTTGAGAATGAGACAAAACACAGATCTGCTGGCCAAAAACTAAAAATTGAAACCAACTGCATCCCTCACTCACGGCAAAAGGACAAGATTAAACAGGGAAGCTTGGGAAATGTGAATTAGGAAAAACACCACAACTCCGCAAAACTGAAAATGAAAAAAATACATAGAAGTGAAAACTATTTCAGCGATAACGCTATCATAGGCAGCCTATAGACAAATATGCAGACATCTTGGTATGGGGATAGCCAACATTTCGAAAACAATAACAATTGCAACCAAATGATATATAAACACATTCCTGGTGCAAATGTTGTTGCAAGCCAAAAACAAAAAATTCCACATAAAATCATTAAAGCTTTTGTAATGGAATTTCCGAGGAGTGTTCGGCGGTCCGACCCATCTATTATATTATTTTGCCAATAAATATTAGGGTTACCTTGGATTTCACATCGATTTTTTTTCTCTTTACACATATAGGAAGTATTACACATAGAGGAAGTATTTAGATACCAGCTGAAGCTAACCGGAGAGGGGAGTATACTATGGAGGAACTCGCTCGCTCGGAAAAACGTCTATTCTGGTTGAATCCAAGGGGACTCTTTTATAGCTGAAGGGAGTCTTCATGGGCGAGTTGAAGGGAATGCTTATAGGCGAACTGAAGAGAGGTTCTATAGATGAGCTGCATGAAGGCTCTATAGACGATATAAATGGTATATGAAGGTATATGAAGGGAGTTTTTACAGACGAAATGGAATGGAATATTTTTAGCATAGATGAAAGGAGTCTTGATAAAGGAGCTGATGGAAGTTTTAATGGGCGAGCTCAGAGGAGACTTTATTGAGGACCTGAAGTGAGTGAGGGGACTTGAAAGAAGTCTTTAAAGAGGACCTAAAATAAAGGGAGTCTTTCTAGATGAGCTGAAGGGAGTAATGCAGATGAGCTGAATGGAATCTACATATACGATACGAATTTTGTAATCTTTGGTTTTAAAAAGGAGACAGGAATAGGAGGTCCTTCTTTTTATACTTTTTCGAATCGAAGATATATCTATTTCCGAAGATGATCGTCCATTTGAGTTTCTGATTCACATTACAACCCAATGTAACAAACCACCCCTAAGCTATTGTTGCTGTAATCAGCAAATTTTCCCTAGCCAAGGAAATGGAATAGTAAAATGAATGGCATGGAACATTTTCGGTTTTTGGGAAAAAGTGGAGCGGTGCAAGTCAGAGTGTGTTGCCTACAACTTCGTACTTACCGTTTGAGCTCTGAGGCAGTTGTAGTAGCTGTTGGCCGGTTGTTGTTAAAGTCATATTTGTTGGCTCCTGCTGATGCAATTCCGACTGCTCATGTTGTTGTTGTTGCTGCTCTTCTTTCTGATTATCCCAATGCTCCTGCTGTTGTTGTTGTTGCTCCAGCTGTTGTTGTTGGTGTTTGTTTGGTCCAGGACATTTTTGGCCATATTGGGTATCTTGATGTTGTGGTTGTTGCTTCCATTCATTCATTTGTTGCAATTCCTGCAGAGATATTTCGTTTTGTTGTTGTTGCTTTTTGGATTGCTGTTTTTGTTGAATTTTTGGCAAACGTAAAACTTTTTTAAATTGCGGTAATGCAAGCACCAAATTTGCATTACCCTCAGCACGATAGATCAACTCAATTTGGCTCAGATCCATGCGAGTATTTTGTTGGCTAGAAGGCATAGATGGTTCGTGCTTCTGTTTCTGTCCGAGGTCTTCTGCATCGTCCTCCACATTCATATTTGAATTGTGGCCATGCTGCTGTTGCGGGAGCTGCTGCTGCTGTTGTAACTGTTGTTTATTCAAAACACTCAACAGTTCGAGCAATTCCTTTGGTGGCTCACTTGATTGCGGGCATGATGAAGCGTATGATGATGTTTCCGAAGCCATTATATCTTTTCAATCTTTCCAAAATTTCTCAATTCTCTCGGTTGGTTGGATGGTTTGTTATTTGTTTGGTTACTACGGTTATTGTGTGGATGTTGTTATGTTATTCCCTAAAAATGTACAAATAAAAAATTAGAAACATTTCGATCTGATATTTGTTTAATAATTATGAAATCCAAGTCAATTTTTGTATGATAAAGGAGTCATTATAGACCAATCGAGGGAGTCCATATCCGAGGTGACTGGAGTTTCCAAAGGCAAGCTGACTGATGTTTTTACTGACAAACTGAAGGGAATCTTTATAATTGATTTTAAGGAAGTTTTTATAGAAGTTGAAAGGGGTTTCTACAAAGGAACTGGTTACAGTCTCTTTATGACGAGCTGAAGTAAGTCTTTGAATGAATTTAAAGACGACCTGAAGGGAGACTTTATAGACGGCATGGTGGGAGAATTTTTAGATGAGCTGAAGGGAGTCTCTATTGGCGATCTGAAGGGAGTTTTTGTAGACGAGCTGAATGGACGACATGAATGGAGTCTTTGGGGATTATACAGCTGACCTTAAAGGGAGACTTTATAGACAACCTGAAGGGACTTTCTATAGGCGAGCTGAAGGGAGTCTCTATAGGAGAGGTGATGTGAATATTTAAGACGAACTGAGACTTTGGGTAATCTAAAGACGGCCTGAAGAAATTATTTTAAGACGACATGAAAGGAGACTCTATAGACGAGCTGAAGTGAGACTTTATAGACGAGCTGAATAGCGAATTTATAGACAAGCTTATGGCAGTCTCTGCGAAGGAAGTTTTTCTAGACGAGCTGAAGTGTATGAATGGACATGTTTGACGAGACGAGATATATTTAGTCTTTTGGGGACCTGCTGAGAGAATTTTTGTAGACGACCTATCGGGAGTCTTTATAGAGGTACTGAAGGGATATTTAAAATTTATTAAACGAATTTGGAAATACATTTTTATGGACGTGGGAGTAATTTTAAATAAACTGTATATGAGCTACGTCTAGTTGAGGGAATATTTTATAGGCAAGGTGAAGCAGGGCGAACTAGAGTCCGTAGAGATTAGATACGCTTTAGACAGCTCAGATCAAGACCGTAGAAGATCAATTTGATATACCTTTCTCTATATGAAGAACTGTACTAGATCTGTTGCCTGTAGTAGGCTTGTAAATGTCATCTGTCTTTAGTATGAGTGTATAAATTCTTCCATAGACAGATGATCACCTTCAGGTCGTCTACCTATAGGCATTTCTAATAGGCTGAAAGCAGCAGCTTTTATATGTACCTTTTGATAAAATGAGTTAGCACGTCTACTAACGGCCATATATAAACCAGCTGAAGGGTAGGGAGCTGAAAGGTGAGGTGTTTTAAAGCAATTTTAAAAATACACTGAGCTATCTGGGCCATTCATTTTTATAAGGAAATAAAATCTTTGAATATTTGAAAATTAAGAGCAGCTGATTACACATATTACATCATTCTTTTAGAGGACAATCCTACTGCGACCTAGTCTGGATCTAAGTTGATCCCATTTTATTAAATAGATGTCAGGGGTATCCCCTACAGATTTCACCGACGTACTTTATAGAGGTGAATGCAGTTCATACGAATTTCGACTAAATTACTGAACATTGAATCGATTTTTAAAGAAATTCTTTTCATCCTACACGTTCTGCAGTGAGTACCTCTTCTCCTACCTTCAAATATACATTTCATATTCTTTACTTTCTGGGGTCATTTTTCATTTTGTTATCATTGGATAAGTTACAAAATATTTCGAAAACATTATTGTATTGCATATCTCTTCTCTTTTGTATGTCTTTACTTTCCAATGTAAAACATTTTATGTTTTCGTTTACAGTTTTTGCCTGTTTTTGTAAAATACAGTTTTGATTTTATGCAAAAGTTATTCTAAGCTTTTGTATTTTGTTGGAAAATTCTTACTGTTTTTGTTACTAAAATGCTTATCTGGTTGATACGAAGGGGATTACATATATACTCATGCTTAGAGATGATAGAAACATGTAAAATCTACAATAATGAACCATTGATAGGAGGAAGATGAGAAGACGGGAAGGTAGAGAAGAGACATGTTAATAATTTTTCAAAACCCCACAACAGTGGGTGTGTGTGGAAAGAGTTAGTTGATGTCGCTCTAACCTTAGAACAATAATGTCCAACGTAACACCACCAAGTAGTGACAATTCAAGGGTAATTTCTCTTTTCAAAAACTTTTCATCGAGTCGAGTATGAGTCCAATAAATTTTATCAATTTCACGCCAAAGATTATTTTACACAATAAAGAGATGAAGAACGGGTGTTTGTGAGCGTCGTCCATCGTTCCGCAAAAGCCAATGACGTAAAAATGGAAAATGTTTTGTAATTAAAAACTTAATGATAAATTGATTTCTATTGTGTGCCATTATTGTTGGAGGACATGACAGTAAAAATATGTGTTAAAGTTTTCCCTGAACTGACCTTTGGCTTGTTATTGACCAGATAAATTATAAATCACACAAAACAATAGCCAGTAATTGAAAGTAATCTTGAAAATATGAAATCCTTTTGAGGAAGGGTAAGATGGGGAGAGAGGTTGTCATATAGTCCCACAGCAATTTAGCATACTCAAAATAACATATTTGCGAAATAAAAAAAATGGGGAGAGAGGTTGTCATATAGTCCCACAACAATTTAGCATTCTCAAAATAACATATTTGCGAAATAAAAATGCGTGGTAAATTAAAAAAGAGGGTCTCTTTATCAATTGTCTGACAGTGCTATTTACTTTCTGGTCATGAATTTATGTCCTTCATGGAATCTCTCACAAATATTTCATGGTAAAGCAAACGTAATAACATATAAATTCCATCTAATGGAGGAGGTTATTAATACCTCTAATAGACCTTCAGCGGCTATAGAATTAAAATTATGCTGACTTCTTTTACCTTACTTAGCTTGCCTTTTACAGATCGGTTGTTACATAAGCCGAGCTTAAAAAAGATTTCCAAGCGCGTCGATCTTGTGCGCAGTTAGAATTATCATGTTCCAAGATGTTGTCTTCTACTTCATCTTTTCATCTAATTCGTGGCCTTCCCCTTCTGTGTGGCCTTGTTTCTAAACTGTTTCCATTGTAGCATATATTGGCCATCACAATCCTTCTCCGAGTTTCAAAACGGATGTCATTAGTTTTATTTATGGCGGTACCAAGGTGTATAAAATCTTTAACTACCTCGAAGCTGTAGTTCTCAAGTTCCACAGTTGGTCGAGTCTACTGGGCATCTTGCGCGTTGATACCATCAACTTGATCTTCTCGCCATTTTCTGCCAGACCCACTTTGGCAGACTCCATCTAAATTTGTTCAAAGGTGGATGTTACCGTTCGCAATGTTCAGCCCATTATGTCGATGTCATCGGCTTAGGCGAGTAACGTGTGTGGTTTGGTGTACAGAGTACCATTTCTTTTCACATTTGCGTGTCGTATGACCTTTTCCAGCAGGATGTTGAACAGGTCACACGTCAAACTGTTACTTTGTCTGAATCCTCGTTCAGCATTGGAGTGTTCCGATAGGTCCTTTCCGAATTTAACCGCTAATCTTGTGCCACCTGATGTTATCCTGCCGTATTAATTTTGCTTTATAGTCGACGAATAGGTGGAATGCGTCGATGCGTTTTTCGTGGGTATTTTCCAGGATTTGGCGCAGAGTGAAAATCTGATCAATGGTGGATTTGCCAGGTCTGAAGCCGCATTGGTAGGATCCAATAATGTCACTGTCGCTCAGTCGTTCAAACACCGTGCTGGATAGCACTATATGCGATGGAAAAAAGACTAATTCCTCTGTAGTTGGCATATATCTTCTTGTATCCATTTTTGGGCACGAGACACAGGATGCTAAGGTTTCAATCATTGGGCATGCATTCCTCTAGCCAAATTGTAATAATCAGCCGGTGCATGCTCCTGACCAGCATCTGACCACCAGGGTTGAATATTTCGGCTGGCTCCTTTTATTACCTTCACTTTATTACTTTTCAGACTATTAATTGCTAGTCTAACATCATCTTGGCTAGGTGGTATACACTCTGGGGTTCTGATGACAGAAGCTTGACTTCTTTCACCTCTCACCCTTAAAGAGAAACCCATAAATAGAAACTTAATTTAGAATAAGTATTTATTAAACTTTGTTCACCAAACTTATATAATAATCCCCCGCTCCCTAAGACATACCAAACATCCTTAAGAGTTATTGAAGTACTTAATAAAGCTTGATATGTATACACTTCAAAGAAATTTATTTGGCAAATATTTTTATATTATCTCTCTCTCTAAAACCGTTCACATGCTTTCCCCCAATCCGATATCCTACCCCTCTCCCACCATAACTTCCTTTGCAACTTTACAACTCTACAAAGAAAATATCTAATATCAATCAGTTGATAAACTGTACTTCTTTGCAAATCCCCAAAACACTTATACCGGTATCCTTCCTTTGATCCTTGTCATTTTTTTTCGTTTTTATTTTGGGTCTTGTCTTGCCTTACTTTGTGTAAACAACAACTGCTGTGCATGTCCCTGGGCGCACGTCCTTTCAACAAGTTGATTTGTATTTTCGACCTGAAGACAATTTGCAATGCATTTTATCGCCCTGCGGATGGGTTGGGTGAGTGAGTGAAGAGGTTGCGTTGCAAAGCAACTCGAAACTGAAAAGAGCTGTCAGCCGAAAAATGGCAAACTCAGAACGGCAGGCAGACAGGTAAGCAGTCAGTCAGTCTAACTGTCAGCCAAATTGGCATTCAGGTAAACGCAAATAAAGCAAATCGCTGGTGATACTGCTTCTGACGAACAGTGAACAAAAAACCCCACAACGACGAAGACAAACAACCAAGTGCGAAAATGTCATTTTAACGATTGTTCTGCAGCGATTTTATTCCTGAGTTATTCTTCTTCCTCTCAGTTCAATAAAATTGAACAAAAATAAAAGAAACGAACGAACGAA